GATGACAAGAGAGCCTATTCAGTTTCAATTTGGAGAGGTATTGCTACATTGGTGTTGGGTACTCTTTCGTCTACTCAAAAATTAGATGAAATATCACTGAACCCACAAATCAAAACAAAATTTTCATTAAATCAACCAGAATGGAGTAAACGAATTCACAATTTCAATATATTTTCAAGACCCAACAATAGTCCTATTAGTCTCCTTTCAGAACAAGACAACAGAAATGAAAGGAGTATTCACAGATTTGAAAACATCGAAGAAGGAATATTTTCTTTATTTGAAACTTCTGGAATTGATAGGTTTAAAAATATCAGTTATACGTGTTTCATCGATAATGTTATCCAATGTTCATCAAACACCACATGGTTGATGGATATTACTGGAGTTTTTTCCCGACACCAAACCGTTATTCAAACTCCTCGATACGTCGAGGTGTTAAAATAATTGTTTGGTGTTGGGAAACATCTCCAGTTACATTGATTACTACACCTAAGGTTTCAAACAGAGCATCACAAGTACCAGATGGTTGATAAAATATGTAGAAAACCATGTCTTCAGTATTCACCTATCATTATATGTGGGTTCGAGTAATGTAATCATTATTATTATTATCATGACATCATTGGGGACACCGGTCTTATATGCACGTAGGTGGTTGTGAATGGAAATGGCGAGAAGTAGGACGACAAGGGACGACAAGATATTTTGCAGGCATATAATTGCAGGCAGCATAAAAACCCGGCTAAATGGCATTCTCCAATACTCCTTGGACAAAGTATCTCCCGGGGGATCGAATAGACCCACTCACTTTCAGCCTAACCTCACGATTAAAGAATACGAAGTGAAATTACCAGAGAGCAAGGAGATTTCTCCGGAAACGAAAATAAGTGTTTTTACCACGAAGGGTGCTCTAACCAAAGCTCTCGAAGAAGAACTTTGGTTAGAAAATTATTTGCATAGAGTGATAAATAATTTTTTTTGAAGAGTCTAATTCGAATATTTGCTTCTGTATCCATGTATCACGCACAGAAGGATGCCCAGGAGTTCCTTCGATTTCTTTTGAAAGTGTTACACCAAGACATAGATAGAGTCACTGAGAATCGTAAACCAATCTTGCAGAAAATTGTGATACAATCAATGGATAGCAAAAAATCGCAGGAGCCCTGGTTGGAATATTTGATGATGGACAAATCTAAGATTGTGGTCCTCTAAAATCAATTTCGAATTGTATGTACTATGGACACTCATTGGTAACTTCCAAAACATTCTGAGATTTGTCTCTCTCTTTCCAACAAAGCAATGGTTGAGTGAGTTTATCACAATGCTTGGAGTCCTTTACTGAAGAAGAAATTCAAGATGGAGACAAAAATCCGATGTGCTTGAAATGCAGAGGAAGAAGAGAGTGTCCAAAATCTCTATCAATCCATAAGTTTCCCCGAACAGTAGTATGAAGAAATTTATGTCAACAGAAAAAATTCAGAGAAGAGTTCAACTTTGCTATCGACTTTTCTCGGGGGGGTATAGATATGAGTAATTTTTTTCATTCGAATCACAGTGGGAATACTTACCGTGGATGTTAAACAGCATAATATAGACATCCATATACCAACAGGTGACACGAATATAACAATTCTCGCATGCCAAAATATGTTGGGAGTGAAGAGGTTCATTAGGTTCTCTTCTATGAGAAGGAAAGAACTGAATAGCACCTTTTTTGTGATTGTATATCTTTTCAATGAGTTATGGAATTGTTAGAAAAATTTACCATAAGGCAGTGATAAACTAAACAGAGGGATTGAATAGAATAGAATAATTTATTAACTACGTTACATTTTCAAGTTTTTAGCAGGTCAAGTGTATAGGCTTTCTTGAATAAACATATAAAACAAGTAAGTAAATTGTAAAAATAAAATAAAACTGTCCTGAAATAATCGTAGTATTCTGATACTGAGTAAAAACATTGGCTGAGTAGCATTTTCTTGATGGCTCTTTTGAATTTGGTGATACTAAGCTCTTTGAAGTTATTTGGCAGATAGTTGAAAATATTGTAAACAACAGAATTCATTTTTGATCTGGTCAAACGATAACGGCATGTTCTTACCTTGTCCGCATTTCTCGTAAATTGTTGGTGTATATCAGACTGTTTCTCTAGCAAATGAGCATTTTTTCTGATTTCCAGTAGCGTCTCATAAATATATAATGTTGGCAACGGCATGATACGTAATTTTTTGAATAATGGTCTACAATGCTCCCGGAAACCTGCACTTGCCAATATTCTTACAGTTTTTTTCTGTAGTTTGAAAATTATCATCGAACCAGGAGAGTTCCCCCAAAGAACAACACCGTAGCTGATGTGTGAGTGGAATAATGCAAAGTACGTCATTTTTAGAATCTCACCGCTTGTGAAGTGTTGCAGTTAACGAAGGATAAATATTGCACTAGATAATTTATTTGCGAGAAGATCTGTATGTTGATGCCAAGATAAAGAACTGTCGAGAGTAATGCCAAGTAATTTTACACTTTTTTCAGCTGAACCTACAGTGGTGAACTCAAGATTTTGAGTTTTGCCACTATTCAACTTTATTTGCTAGAAACCAAGTGTTGGCTTGATTTCCAACTTCTATCATTACTTGTGGAATGTTAGATGATGATTGATCGCTATATATCAAAGTTGTATCATCTGCATAGAGAATGGTCTTATAGAGAGACATGAAATTACATATGTCATCAACATAAATAACAAAGAGCAGGGGCCCAAGTATTGAAACTTGTTGAACACCGTGATCAATAGGTTCAAAATTTGATGTTATACCATTACCCGAAACCGCCTGATACCTATTTGAAAGGTATGATTCTATACGTGACAAAGATACCCCTCTAACTCCATAATAATATAATTTTTCAAGAAGTATACTGTGTGATACACAATCAAAAGCCTTAGACAAGTCAAAAAGCGTTATGGCAGTATGCACACCCTTCTCGAAACCTTCAACAATAGATCCCACAACATCAAAGACAGCTAGAGAAGTAGAACGATTTTTGCGAAACCCATATTAACCCTGAGGAAAGAAGTTGTTGCTCTCGAAGTAATCATACAGACGATTTTTCATTATTATTTCAACGACTTTGCAGAAAATAGAGATGATAGATATGGACCTGTAATTGTAATTCTATCGATGAATGAGGATGTTGCCTTCTTTGTATCCAACTTGGGTACTCCATTACTTCTATTCAATCAATTCCAGCCGAGCACACTTAGGAAATTGGCGAGTGCATTGGCTTGGAATGTGGGGGTTGAGCAAACCGGCCATCAAATGCCTGCTTCCACGTAGTCCCGCTGGATACGGAAATTACAGAATCACTTGTGATTCCCTAACTGAATGGCATCCCAACGATAGCTTAATCCTAAGGTGTGTGTATCCATGCCGAGAGAATGAATAACTCTGAGCCTATCAGCTGTCTCTACGGATCCAATAACTGAACCTAAAAAATAGGAAACGACTGAGTCGTCTCCTCAAGAGTGGCGTACGCAGAATCTATCTCATGTGTAGGAACAAACCCCCATGAGCAGGTTGGCAAACGTTTGCGCTCAAATGATGATTCACCAAAACCACGGTTGATTCTAAGTCATCGTCAGGTGTAGCTGACGTGTAAAAACCCTCATATGGGAAGATTGTCGCGGGTATCAAGGTGGGAATCTTGCACCTTGACTATCCGACTGCCTCATTAATGATAAAACAGCAGACCATATACCTTGTGCCTGCCCCGCTGGGGACCGAATCAAGTTTTAGAGTTCGGCAGAGCCGTACTCTCACCATCAAACTAATCGGCTTCTTTAAGGAGCTGGGTTTATTTGGTCAAGTGTGAATAGGTGTGAGTCACAATAAAACCTTGCGGGTTGCGGTGAAGGGTCGAATGCACCCACTCACTCTTGACCTAACCTAACCTAACCTAATCTAACCAGGTGAAATAGTAAGATAATTGTGGTATGTGATAGCAAAGTGTGACGGGATGTATTTTGAGTCAATGAATGACACTATTGAATTCAATCAAGTGCAACACTAATTGTTACTGATTAGGTTTATTGTGGCTTACACCTATTCACACTCGACCAAATATACCCAGCTTATCAACGAAGCCGATTAGTTTGTATGGTGAGTGGTCTGTCAGGTCAGAAGGTAGGAGTATTGTTACTGGACTCCACTAGTCCTGAGTAGTATATCATAAATTGAAAGTCTGAAGAATTATTTTTTTTCATTCGTCACCACTGAAAATTCAAAATTTGTGCACATAGATATTATGAGTAAGGCTTTATAAGACAATTTCTGTTCTCGTGCATGAATGTTGACACAGAAAGTCAATACACTGCGACTAACAACTCGATACTGGGCGCATGATTTCACGATGATGTTTCTAAAGATGTTTCTAATGACTTCTAATGAATCATTATTTTCCAATTCGACAATTACAATTAGAAACCGCATCGAGAGACATCATTTTTGTTTCTGTGAGGAAAAAGTATTTTCAATAGATCTACTACTAGTTATCACCATTTTCTAACAGCACCACGACATCTACCTATTTTCTGTTTTCGTATTTCTTTCAACCTCTCTATCCCATTTCAACATTGCTTTCCAATAAAAATGTTGAAGCTACAGCAACCTGCATAATATCAGGGTTCAAGAAATCATACAAATACGAAGGTTATTGAGTGTATGAATACAGAAGATAATTCATCAGATGTAGCACTCAAGAAAGGGCTAAACTATATGGACGTGTTCCAGGTTTTTGGCGCATCAGTATGATGCAGTCAAGAATAGGCAACATTTTGGAGGTGAAAGGAATTCAAATGTATGGAGTCATCGGCAGAAGCCAGCTGCTCATTTGTGGTTCCAGTTAACATATCTTGTGTATACTATACCTATTAACTCAAATCATAAATGTATAGTTGGCTTCCGCTGATAGCTTCGTGAGATGAAATTGATAAAAGCCATAACTTTTGAAGTCATCATGTCATCATTTTTATTTCAAATCATAAATACATCAGAGTTTTCATGGGGTAAAATACAAAGTCATATCATTTCAATAAACTACAGTTCATTTGATATATTTTTGAAGTGTACCTGTATTTTAGATGTGGAAATTGGCCTAATAATAATGATATTCTATCCACACCTTGAAGTGTGGATAGAAAATAAAAACACAATCAATGAATGGAAGAGTCTTCCATTCAACATATCTTGAATAAATATGGAGGGGGAATTATAGGTCTTAAAGCTGAAGAAATCATAATATTTCAACTCAACCAATCAGTTGATGAGATAATCATACAATAATTCAACCAAAGAAAGAAATATATAAATATGTGAAAATGATGCTCAATTCAGCCAGATTTCAGATGAGATTGCGCATTGAATCAGACTGAAAAGTTACTAGACTTCAGTGCAAACTTGGGTTCAAAAACGTCTTCATATAAGGGTGCTGGTGAATTATGGTTTTTTTCTATAAGATTCTGACTTGAAACAGTCGTTTTGTTGGTAGAATCAATATGACACCTTTGTATATGGTGAATCATCAAATTTTGAGAGAAAATATAATACCATATCGTACCAGCATGATCTCTTCGTGTTTTCTCCAAAATAATTATGTTAATTATCAGACCAATTACTTTACTCAAAATATGATAGCTGACCAGTGAAACAAGCAGAAAGAATATGTAGAAAGTTATACGATTCATGCTCCATATTGATGGCGCTATGATGTCATCTTTCGAATTGTTGAACTTGGAACATAAATAATTTTGTAATAGCGATAAGTCTTTTTTTGGTTGATCAGATGAAACTTCTCGAACCAGAATTCTTTCTTCATTGGTTACCCAAAAGTAGTCGTAGTCTTCAAAAATGATTTTCGTCAGCAGTCGCAGTATATACGTTTTCCTAATGTCATCAAAAATTAATAGTTTCATATCACGATAATGTCCCAAAGACCATATTTCTCCTTCTGCTCTCGAAATTACTTCGAAATCGATATTCCAGAGTACTGTCTCTCTTGTGGTAACACACATGCTTTTGGTGTATGTGCATGGACCAAAATCTATTTTTATTAAATTTTTTTTCAGATCCACTGCTTTTTTTTCTCCTTCACAAATATGAAAAGTCAAATTATGTTCATCTGCATAAATTTTATAATCGTAATCATTTCTTGGCAGTACCTCTCCATGGGGATATATATTGTTGAATGCCAGAGAAGCCAGTTGATCATTTATGACAGAATTGCAGTAAAAATTACTTCTTCTGATATCTCGAATACTCTTGAAATAGTAAACCATCGTTTCGTTTATATTCTTGACAATTTCATAGTTTGCTGTGGATATTCGTGTTTGACAAATTATAATATTTGTTGTTAGCTTCATGGATATCACCAGAAGAAGAGCGAGTAACTTGGTTATCATATCTGAAAAAAAAACTTTGATAACCATTTGAACGTAAATTTAGGAATCATCGAAGACACATAATTATAATTTTTTTTTTCTTTCTCAACTGTTTTCATAGTACGGGATATTTCAGAATAACAAAAATGTACCTATGTTCGTGACTGAGGTAACTTAAAATAAGATCATATTCGTATATATATCTTCCACCTTTGATGATTGCAAATGACTCATATAAATCAATTCATAGTTATCATGCACCAGCTGTTTGGGAATATTTTATAACAATCATCAATTCACGTTAGGAATCACACTTTAAAAGGTAAGACCTCGTTAGTCCTTAGCTCGCAGAAGTTTCTCAACTTCTGAGAGTTGTCGTTCGTATGGGGGCGGCAGCTGATTAACGGAAAAACAGATTTTAAACAGATTTTTTTGAACAGATTAAGAATTTCAAGTTTGAAGACTCGTGGTTTTTTTAGCTATTTATCCACCTCTTTCCTGGTGAATCCATCCGACTGGCACCCCAAGGCTGTTTCGAAACAGCAAGCACAAGCTACAATGTGCTTGGGTCTGGTTGATGCTTAATTTCAATGGAGCTGCATTTTTGAAACCTCCGTCTAAGAGGGAGATTGTTTACTAGTAACAGCTCCATCTCGTGAACGAAGCCCCAAGCGGGAAGGAAACATATCATGTATCAATTCTTAATCAAAATTCGTTTATATGTAAGCATCTCTCTTCGATACAGTATTTATTTTGATTGCTTTTTGTTTATTCAGATTTGAAAAAACTTATTTTCTTTACTCACGCCCAGCCATGACATAGGTATATTGACTAGCTGAGGTCAAGCTACTTTTTGGTAACATCATGAATACCAAGGTAGGCTATAGATCATGTAACAATGAAGCATCAAACGGATTGAATAGACTAACAAATATGTTCAGTGATAATTAAAATATGAAGAATGGAATAATAATGATTGTTGAATCAAACTCTACATGCTCTTAAAAGAAATAAATGAACTGGATATCACATCAACCCTATCAGTGTACGGTCTCACACAATTCATAATATTTGTTTGACTACGTTACATAATACAATATGTTTGTAGCAAGTCATGTCTGGCTTTACATTTGAAATTTACAAGCAGACAACAACAATCATATAGAGTAGGTTCTCTAAATATGGACTACCATATAGATTTCATCAAATAAAACTGAAGAAATGGTAGATATATTTCTCTCTTTTATTTTAATCACACAAGAAACTAATCTAGTATCACAATAGACTTCAATTGTCATGAAAAGAACATAAATTCTGGCAAATTTACCTTAATTACAAAAAATTGTAAAAAATAAACTTCTTAAAAAGGTAGTTTAATACGGACCACTAGGTTTTTAATATGAACCATGGGTGCATAATATGGACTTGAGCAGTAAATAATCACAGTTAATAATATTTTATATTATTATTATCATTCTTTTATAGGAATAGATTACCGTCGTAAATCAGTCTCGATCAACAAAAAATAGAATAGTACTTACATACTAAACAACATAATTTTATTAGACTCAAATAGCGAAATATCCATACTAATATTATGGTACTTAAATAAAATTATAAAGTTACGGTAAATAAAAATTATAACAAAGCTAATCACTGCAAAATTCACATAAGAAGTGGACACTATCGACACCAGCACATTCTTCATGTGCCCATTGCTCACAAGAAGAACATTGTACCCACTGTTCTCCTTGAGTATCATCGGAGAAGAGACTGTCACAATATAAACATTTTGCATTATGTTGTTGACTTCGATCGGGGCTTTCATCTGTAAGATCGTTGACTGAATAGTTACTGTCTTCGGACGTAGATGATGCTCTATTTACCTTGTTTGGTATTTTTATTTGCTTAGTCTTTTTTAATTGCTTTCTGTTGCTTTTTGGCCTTTTCTTTGGTGCAGACTTCTTCTGCTTCTGACCTACAACACTCCCCTTCTTTTCTCTTGCTTCTGCCTTCTTTTCATTTAGCTCCTCTAGTTCCTTCGTAACATTTCTTTTTTTCTTTGATGCTGCTTCACTTTTTGTCTTTATTGACGTCTCTAAACAAAGTTTATATGGCGACGATGTCAAAATTGTAGATTTGGTTCCCTTTCTTCCCCTGTTATTATCTTTTTTTCTTAACTGTGGTACTGGAAACAATTGTTTAGGAGACAAATGAGCAATGGATGTAGAAGGACCAGGGTTTACGTCTATGTTAGTTTCAATGGATGGAAGAACTGAAGCCGCTACTTCAATTTCGGGAGATTCTTGTTCTGAAGGCAGTACTACGAACTCTGTCAAGGTTTGAATTTCGTTTACAGCTATTGGTTCAATTTCGCCAATTAATTCCACCAACGACGTTTCAGCCGGATTTTGAGATATTATATCCTCAATTGAAGACTGTGTTCCACAAGCTGTAAAGTTGGGTTCGCTAATAATTGATGGAGATTCATCACAGACAGTTCGATCTGAATCATAAGTTTCATCGTTATTCACTGAAGTCGTTATTGTTGATTGAGCTGTAACAGTGGCAGGAATTTCATCAGCTATTGATTGATCAACAATGAAGTCATGATCTTGAAAAACACTCCTGCCTATAGGGTAAATTCCAGTTACCCGAAAACCATTGATGGCCAGTTCAGCCCGCTGGGCTCTTATATAGGCACGACCAAATAATTCTGCTATATCATAGTGCGTTGCAGCTTGACTTTTACGTCGAACAAACTGGCGAATTTCCTCAGTGAAGTATTTTTTTAGTGGGCCCATGAATGTGCGATCAAGCGGTTGAATTTTGTGGCTTGAATGTGGAGGTAATGACAAAAGTTGCACATGATTGGCTCGTGCTAAATCAATCAGTTCAATATTACGGGTATGACTTGCATGACCATCCAATACCAATAATACAGGCGAAGTAGTAGAGGGTTTAGCGTACTTCAAAAAATGTTTAAACCACTTTGTGAAAAGATCAGTCTGAATCCAGCCTGATGGATGGCAGGCGTGAATTGCACCAGGTGGAGCCCCTTTCATTAAAAGAGGATGGTCACGTTTGCGAGGGAAAATCATCATCGGCGGAACAAATGTGCCACTGGCATTCATACACATCACACAAGTGACTGTTGATCCTCTCTCAGCTGAAGTTGTCGCAACTATTTGTCGTTTTCCCTTTTTGGCCAATATTTCCGGCATCTTTGAGGGAACGACTGTAATTCCGGTTTCATCTACATTGTAGATATTATTTGCCAAATAGTTGTGCTTTTCCATTGCTTCTTCTAGTAATTTGAAAAATTCGTCAACATTTTCTTTATTGAAGCCTTTCAGTCTTGCAATAGAAGTACCCGTGGGACGACGAAACGAAAGTTCAGGATGGCGTTTTAAAAATAATCGTAGCCATGTTTTGCCAGCTAACTGGTTTTCTTTGGAAAACTTATGGGTCAAGTTATTTTTTTCCGCTAATTGATAAGCTAATAACTTAATATCACGTCGAGTTAGTCCAAATCCTGATTCTTCCATGTGAAGCACATAATCAGCCAAGTCAGTCTCTAGTTCAGGAGGAAGTGTCGCTTTTCTTCCGAGTTTTATATTTATGAGTTCTTTTAAAGGCATGTTACTCTTTTGTGATAACCGTATAAGTGTAGTTTTCGGCACTCCAAAGGTTTTCGATGCTTTCAGAAATCCCATTTTTTTCTCCTGAATAGCTAATATAGCCTGTGCCATAGAATCTTTGTCCCATTGCTGCCGTTTTGGTTTTGACGTCATATCCTAAAACAAAAACGATAAATTTATAATATGGACTACTTGACCATAATATGGACCACTAGTCCATATTTAGAACATCGCGATAGGTCCATATTAAAAATTGTGGCACTTTGAGGTTGAATATTTTTTAGATTTTTTTACAACTATCTACAATAATTAAGTATATGAGCAATTATTGTTAACATAATGATGTTTCTCGAAAAGGTTCATTTAAATCATAATGATTAGAAATGAAGTAGTGATATTCTTACAAAACTTACCGAAAATATACATCGAGTCTTGCAAAAAACAAAAAATGACGACTACTGACACAAACGCACTCGCAGGTCCGCTACGATCGACTGGCGGGGTGGCGCGGGGCTTGCGCGTCGAATGTAACTAGTTTCACTGCGATTGTAGTGACATCTAGCTAAATGTAGCCGTAGTCCATATTACCTGACTAGTCCATATTTAGGGAATCTACTCTATGTAAAAATTTTGAAAATCATAAAGAAGTTGTGACTTATGTGTTACCACAAAAATGTGTCCTGAAGTCATCGACAGAATAGAACCAATGCCTCAAAACATAATTTTTCAATTTTCTCTTGTAAGTATTCAGACTGAGTTCTTTGAAATCTTGGGGCAAAATATTGCAGAGATAGTAGTCTATGGAATTTTTTTGCGATAAGTGAAGACGAAATCGATTTATTCTAATGTGGTGAGCGTTTCGTGTGTTGTGTTCGTGGATATGACATTGTTTCGCCAAGGATGGTTTCTTCTTATGGATTTCAAGCGAAACGTAATGAGAAAATGAATTTGGCAATGGCATTATTCTGAGTATTTTGAAATATTCTTCAAAGTGATACCTATATCCAATTATAGGCAGCACTTTCAATGCATTCTTTTGCATCCTAAATATTTGAATGGAATGACATGAATTTCCCCAAAGTTGTACACCATAACTGATAAGGAAGTGAAACAGTGACAAATATAAGGGTTTCAATATACACACATCAGAAAAGACTAGGGATATTTTTAAAAATGGCAATAATTTTTTTTTAGATCGCTTTAAGGAAAAAAAGTTGACGGGTGATTATTAAACGAATGTAACTTACAACAAAATTTATTAAATGGTCAAAAATATTGAGTGCGCATATAAGCAAAACTAAAAAAAATATGGCTCTTCTGTGGCACCCCGAAAAAAAATCATAATACAAAAAAATTGGAATCAGTACAAAGTATGGCCTCTACGCTGGTTTATTACGGCTCTACATCTGTCGTGCATCGATAAATTGAGATTTTCAATGTCTTGTTGAGGTACACTTGCCCATTCAGCGATTAAAAGCTCTCTCAATTGAAACGTTGTGTGAATAATCCCCATATGCGGAGTATTTCTTCGATGAAGCATGTCCCACACATGCTCGATGGGATTCAGGTCCGGTAATTGTGCTGGCCATGGCAATACATCAACTCCTTCGTTGGTGAGCCAGTCAGTCACTAGACGCGCGATTTGGAAAAACGAGATCGGTTCTGCCGCCGATCATGATTCCGTCTCATGGCATTACTGTACCACCTCTGTATGTGTGGACTTCCTGGACGTGTCTCAAACGTTCATTATTTCCAGGTCGTCTCTACAGTCTTACTCGACGAGAATCTGGATGAAATCCAAATCTGGATTCGTCTCTAAACAAAACTGTGGCCCAATCATTTGCATCCCAGTTTTGATGTTCTTGACACCACTCTAATCTTCTACCGCAATTGCCTCTCGCTAAAGGTGGACATCTAAGTGGCCTTCTGTTGTGGAGATCTGCTTCATGCAGTCGATTTCTGACAGTATCACGACCAATGGTTACCTGGTGCGTCTGCTGCAACACGTTAACCAACTCAGGTGCTGTGATTGTCGGTTGTCTTCTTGCGGTTAAGACCAAAAATCGGTCTTGAACTGCAGTTGTAGCGCGTCCTCGCTGGATGTTGTTCGGCTGGACTGCCAGTTTTACGGAAACGCCACCACAATCGACTGATAACACTTTGGGAGACCCCCAAACGAAGAGCTACATCATTTTGTCGCATGCCACCTTGAAGAAGCCCTACAGCTCTATTCATCTCAGCCAATGGTAAGTGATGGCATTCCATGTTAAAGCACAATATTTCCAGTTTAATTGCTGAGCAAGAACTGCATAGAATGTACAAACTCGACACTTTCAGATTATTCATTTTAGCCGAACACCTACAGTTTGTAAAAAACTTGATAAAAGATTAGTTACCGTATTTGCAGGCTTTGTTCAACCCATAGAAATCTACAGGGTGGTCGAGTGTACCAATTTAATCGAAATTAAACGACGTCATGCATTTATTTTTATGATATTTAGTATGTTATAAAAATATCCCTAGACTTTTCCGATGTGTGTATTTGCAGTAGTGATGTACTCCAAGCCGAGAGTTTTCTCTTCAGATGAAATGTGCAGACCAGTTGAGTCTATTATCTAATGTAATGCTCAGTAATTCAATTTCATTGGTTTCACAATTACTGATAATTTTATTATTAGGAGAAATCTGGATGTATTGTGTCTTCCGACAATATAGTTTCAGCCTATGATATTGACACATGGTGATATGAATTCACTATCTGTTTAAATCTGTTTAAAATCTGTTTAAAATCTGTTTTTCCGTTAACCAGCTGTCGCACCCCTACGAACGACAACCCTCAGAAGTCGAAACTTGTGCGAGCTAAGGATTACCGATGTCTTACCTTTTAACGTGTGATTCCTAACACGGAATCGATAGAAAAAATTGAATATTTCATATAATATTGACCTGAGTAATTTTCACGTTCTTCCATTAGAATAAACCTTACAACCGGTTTTCATATCATATAAATTATGTAATGAAATCCAATTTATATTTTCTTCTGTTTAGAGCAATTGATGGAGAGTTTTTTCTATGTTTTTCTCCAAAGGATCTCTTTTTCTTGCTCGATTTTGAAAAATATCAGAAATTGTTTTAGAGCTGTAACTTTAGACTCACATTCAGTTTGTTATCATCAAATTTGATATCTCAAGGATTGGAAAGTCTCATGCGACACAAATTAATTTGAAGCTGTCAAATTTTTACATGACGAGTTGAGAAAATACAGATTCACCCTTGGGCTATAAATAAGTAAATCATGACTTACTTGTGAAGCAATACGCGTATAGTTCACACACATAAAAACAATTGGAAGTGTTGAAATGATGTATCGAATTCAAACGTTACTCAAGAAAATGGAAATCACTTACCCACTTCAATCATACAACCACAAAAAGCGATATGTGATTATCTGTGGTCAGATATAACTTTTCTGAAATTTCATTATCATTGACGTGAATACAATTGGCGTTGAAAAATATAGAAAGTTTGTTGCATACAATTTGACCTTTCAAAAAATACTTTCATGTGTGCGATTCCTATAGAAACAGTTTACCAAGTCGCAATATTTGCATCTGATGCTGTATGGTGTCTCAATATCAATGAGACAAAGAATATGTCAAACAGCCAATAGATATTCGACAGCTTGAAACACCTCTGATTTTGATGATTTATTGATTTTTTTCTTTTATTTTATTTGTAATCCGAACCGTTTCGGAGCAGGGACAAGTAGTTAATTCTTCCAAACGATATGTGTAATCTCGATCGTCTGAAGACGATGAATTCAAAAAAACATTGGAAGCTTTTCCATACGTTTTTCGTGAGAAGTTGGGGTAGCAGTACCAATGCAAAGACGAGATCTTCAACAAAAATGCTGCTTGTCATACATAACAAAACAGTCTATTACAATTTTTTATCTTACAGAAGAGAGAGGAAAAGTATGCGATGGTGGATGTCCATCTATTGAGAATTGCTTACTTTACTTATTGCGAAGTGAAAGAAACCGATAATGATAATAACAATAATAATGATTCATTAGTTTTTTAGATTATGTCTAGTATGATAGAAGTCGGTATAAAACAATTTCAGTCAGAAAAACAAGATTTAAAGATGAATCAACATTTAAAACATTTTTCACAAATTGTGGCCAATATAATTATTATAGTTATTGATGTAACTGAGTGCATGAACGCATGTAAAAGGACTCACTATAAAAGTAATGACGGTTGATTATTTTTAATTGGTTCGTATGACTATTTCTTACATAATACAGAAGTCAGGTGTTAGGAACAGTTTGTCCACGGAAATTTTCGATAATACAAATAAAAATCTTAAACTACAAAACAACTTACAGATTACAGATCATACATATGAAAATCTAAAGGCAATATAAAATATAGAATATGAAAATATGCATGCATACATGAAATATAAAATCAGTTAAAATCTGTTTCTACCAAATACTCACTTATAGACTAGTACGATTTTTTTAATAAATATATATTTTTGATTACTATTTTGAATTTATTCAAAGGAAGATCTTTGTAGTAGTTTGGTAGGTGATTTAACAAGGTTATTGCCATCTATTCAGCGCAACGTTCTGTTTGGAGACAGTGTTTCGGCACATCCAGGATTGCTGCATTTCTTTTGTGAAATCCACCTGTTTTCCAGCGCTCACAACTAGGGCATTTCTGTTTTGGCATATATCAATATATGCATAACCTACAAAGAATGGAATCCCAGGATTTTCAGATGTATGAATATATTCTTACAGTTTACTCTCCTGGCCACTCCAACGATATTTCTAACTGCTTCCTCCCGTAGTTTGAGTATACTATGAGCCTCCTGGGATACTCCCCATACTGTGATTACATATGGCATTACTGACTGAAAGTGTGCAAAATATTTTATCATCGATACACATTTTTCGACGGTCCTGAGTTGATGCAGGAGATAACACTTTGGAGTCAGTTTTTGGCATACTCCATTCATATAGGTAGTCTATGTACATAGTTCATTTACATGCAGCCCAAGGAACTTCATAGATTTCGTTCGATTTCAGCAGAAAGCTGTGGTCGAGTTTATTATTTGAGTAAGTGAATCGTATGAACGTTGTCTTCTCCATGTTCGAACTAATTCACTTGAAGAAAATCATTCTTCAGATATTTTGGTTTCTTCATTGGCCTTCAAGACTATTTGCTCTACTAGCTATGAGGGAGGTGTTGTCTGCATACATTATACAACTTTCATTAGAAATTGTTTTCAACGAAGTGTGATTGTTTGCTTGAACATACTGCATCCTGTTTGTTTCAAGGTGGTTGACAATGTTTTGTGGTGTATTTCATCAGTTCGGACTTCCATTAATATAATATAAATTGATTTGATAACCCTGAAAAAAAAAACAAAAAATCATCCGGAAATAACAATTTTATTCAACAAAAAACTGAAATTACAAAGAAATAACATAAACAACAACCAAACAAATGAAAATCGAAATATTGTCAAAAGCTGAAAAAATTAATAATATTAACAAAAAATAAAAATTATAAAATTGAAATTAACAGATTTCAAACCAAGTTATGTCACAACGTTTCAATTGTTAGTATCCACAATCGTCTTTGGGTGATAACTGGACTTATGCCTCCGAGATCTGACTATTTATAGGTCATTCGAGTGCTTTCACCTATCCCCTCTTCCCTCTTTCCGCTTCATTGGTTTTGGCGGAAGATGACCGTTTGGCGGGAGTTGGTCGTTTTTCGCTTGATTAGCTTGATTGCATATGTTACGTATCTCTACGCTAGCTTGACTAAATGCGTTGTTGGACAACGGGGTTATCAAATCAATTTATATTATATTAGACAATGGAAGTCCTAACTGATGAAATACATACTGCATCCTGTTTTTCAGATAACTTTTCAGCCAAGCATGTACCACTTCTGTGAAACCGTACAGTTCTAGTTTTGTTAAAAGAATTTCATGACTGACAAGATCGAATGCCTTGCTCAGATTCAAAGAGATGCAAATCACTTTGTTACCTTTGTCTAACTTCTCCGAAAGTCTATTTTCATTTGCCGTTTTGGAACACATATTCAATCGAGTTCATTACAAACCCGTCCATAAATTTTTCATTTTTCATTAGCAACATATTTTTCAAAAACCTTAACAAAGGGACTCAATAGCGTCTGAAATTTTGAACATATATGACTCCTTCGATTTGAAAATAGAAATAATTTTTGACACTTTGAGGCATTATAGAAACGTACCTTCCTCAAGGAAACAATTTGATAGATACGTCAGTTACTTTGAACATTTCAAGCAATTATGGTTGCTCTACACTCCACAAGTTTTGAACTAACCCCCAGGAGTTTTCGCAAAATTCAAACTATCACGCAGCAAAATAAATTCAAGCGACCTAACACACCAATGCGACACGCGTGATGTAGAGAGCTTGCAAATACAACGGTACATAATGAATTACATTGGAAGTTGGGGTCGCATCAATATTTTGTGTTGGGTTTAGGTAGATGGGCAATCATCTATGTCGAAATCATCATATTTTTAATTTTTTTTTTCTTGTTTAAAAGTATAAAATTATTTTTCACAATATCTTCATACAATAACAAAATAAGAAGGCCATTATTATGAACGCAAGACTTTGACAGAAAAATAAATATAGTTTGAAAAACTGAAAAACACGCTTTTAAAAAACATCGAACTAAAAAGTTGAAAAAAAAAATTCCATAAGCAAAACAATAACGAACAAAAAATACTGGTATTATTGTGAAGAAAGCGACAAACGCTTGATATATAAAAAATATGGCACAAAGCGCCCACGCTTTTTTCACAATAATACTAGCATTTTTCGTTCGTTGTTGCTTCAAGCTTATTTAACTTCTCAGTACGATGTTCTTCAAAAGCGAGTTTTTTTAACTATATTTATTTTTCATTATTCAGTTTCGTATGCTGTAAAAGCTTATTTTTTAGTCTTTTTGAACAAAATATATTTTATCTAAACTTTGGGATCAATCAGCCGTATATTGTTGTTTCAGGGATTGTTGTTTAGTTGTTTCAGGGATTTCAAATCATTTTATATAGTAGACAATGGAAGTCCGAACTAGTGAAAAAACGCCATCTGCCCGCGAACAGATCAAGCATTAACGTTGATAATAGCGTGTTAAAAAAAATGAAGGCTTACGAGTATATACTCTGCTATCCGTGCAAATATGGGGTGAGCGGCTAGTATATATATATATAGTGTGATCAAACTCCAGTCGCCACTATTTCTCATTCCTTCATTATTGGAAGGACTAGTTCGATCGAATTAGGAAATATGTAGTGTATTGGAAAATCATCTGAATATTTCACTTTTCGTCAAGTTTGTCATGCGATTCAGAATCAAATCAAAATGATCTATATCGCTTGCAATATTTATTGTTTTTTTTTGCTCAATACATTTTGGGCACACTTAAGAGCTTGGGCGTGTTTTGACCGCTAAGAACATCCCAAAAATATACCTCTTTCAATATAATCCATTTTATTATTCCATCAGTCTTGAAGTATTTACTGGCTAATTGTATTTACACTTCTCTTTGTTTCAATTTCACAATAAAACATATTGTAGAGTTTTCATATTCTTTTCGTAGGAGTAGAAGGTTTCCGATTTTCATTCATGGAAATCGTGAGAAATCTGTATTAGATCTTGGACTTTCAAAATATCAGATTTTCTCAACCCACATTAAGAGCCGCGGACTATAATCCCTGAATTTTTAATTCAATTCTCCTAACGAAGATTCATGGTGAAGTAAAACCAGTTCCTACCACAAAACAAAGGGTAGTCGAGAGTTCCAGACTTATTTATAATTTATAAAGAACCGGTGTATTTATTCTTCATTTAATTCTATGGGTGGGAAAATGCCTTTGTTTGGAATTGCCAGCAAATTAACGTTGTTTTTTAAAAGGTTTTATTTCCACAGCGGAGTAGGAATACAAAACTTATCATACTGAATTATTGTGACAAGGTAGAGTTTTAATGAAAAAATACTGCCAGACACGAGTGGGTTACGATGAAATATATATAAGGGTTTTGGCATTCTACTTCTCCATCTTGATAAAAAAATGTGAGAAGATGTCTAGATCATGCAAAGAAGTAACTTTCAGACACAACCTGGAAGGAAAAGCCCCCTCAAAACAATTATTTTCATATAAATATTAATTTACACCAAAAAAAAAATACTTTCAGAACAAATACGAACGCTGAACTTAACGAAAAACACTTTTTCTCTATTCCGTTTGCATTCCCAACTTTCGTACCGGAATCGATTCAGATATCATTCACAGGATTCCTACCCAATTTAA